TGATGTTAGGGAGTGTTCTAATTTCATTCTTTTACATGTAGCTGTCCAGTTTTCCCAGCACCACTTATTGAAGAGGCTGTATTTTCTCCATTGTATATTCTTGCCTACTTTATCAAAGATAAGGTGACCATATGTGCATGGATTTATCTCTGGGCTTTCTATCCTGTTCCATTGATCTATATATTTATTTTTGTGCCAGTACCATACTGTCTTGATTACTGTAGCTTTGTAGTATAGTCTGAAGTCAGGGAGCCTGATTCCTCCAGCTCCGTTTTTCTTTCTCAAGATTGCTTTGGCTATTCGGGGTCTTTTGTGTTTCTACACAAATTGTGAAATTTTTTGTTCTAGTTCTGTGAAAAATGCCATTGGTATTTTGATAGGGATTGCATTGAATCTGTAGATTGCTTTGGGTAGTATAGTCATTTTCACAATTTTGATTCTTCCAATCCAATGGTATACGGTATATCTCTCCATCTGTTTTGTATCATGTTTTATTTCTTTCATCAGTATCTTATAGTTTTCTGCATACAGGTCTTTTGTCTCCTTAGGTAGGTTTCTTCCTAGGTATTTTATTCTTTTTGTTGCAGTGGTAAATGGGAGTGTTTCCTTAATTTCTCTTTCAGATTTTTCATCATTAGTGTATAGGAATGCAAGAGATTTCTGTGCATTAATTTTGTATCGGCAGGAGGATTCTTAACCACTGCGCCACCAAGGAAGCCCATCCTATAGGTTGTTTTGATTGATCAAAGAAAGAAAAACAGGGATACCCACACACACATACACAGACACACACACACCACAACTAGTGAAAATGAGCTAGAAAGAAAAGCAGTTAATTCAGACCAAGTGAGACATTTCTGACCCACAAATGTATTTATTTTCTTTGAAATCTCTAGACATAAACTTTGAGTCTGATTGACTCACAAAATCAGCCCACCCAGAGAGTTGCCCATATGGATGGAAAAGCTAGAATTCTTTTCTGCAGTTGAGAAATCCTTTTTTATTACATTAATGGCTCCATCCAGCCATATTTCTGCCAGTAACCAGGACCTTTTTCCTCCCCTTAAGTCTTATCACATCTAGTCTCTCTCATAATCTCACACTTTGAGAGGAGCCAGGACAAAGTATGCCAATCCATGAACCAAAGAACCTATCTGCCATTTCAAGGTTTAGAGTCTCTAATATTTGGTTATTATTTATAACTGTTGTTAAGTGCAAAACTAAATAAAACACTCATATTATACAATTTGTGTAGGAATTTCTACCAAAATCTCAGGAAAATGGAGGAGTGTGGAGAAAGAAGACATTTCTATTCCTTTAATTGAAGACCTCCTCATCCCTCCCCACAAAATTAAAATCAGGTGATCATTTTTAAATGTGTATTTCATTTTCTGATCACTAATACATATGATTTGCTATTTTGCAATGTTGCAAAGTGTTGACAAAAAAAGTCTGTTAAAACTATCCATGCATCGCCCATGGAAAATGAAATATTAGAACTTTATCTTCCCTGTGCCAGGCATTTGAAAGCTATACCAGGGATAGCTTGATCAGGAATTCCCCCATAATGGTGTAATTGCTTTCAAAGAAGCTTTTCTATCATTCACAACAAATGCTCCTACAAGATCAGCTGAGTTTCATTGATATCTCCTCAGGTTTTAAATGTAAGGTCATGCTCTGTAGCTAAGTTCAGTTAGCTTCTTTAAAAGCCACTAGTGTTACCCTAAGAAGATTCTCCTTATGTGTATAATTATATAGAAATGAGATAAATGCCATGTGATGAACTAAACCATCAATCGCCCTGAATCAAAATTGCATAGTAGTAGTAGCTGGGATTTTAGAAGGATTGCTTCATGTCAATTTACATCCATACAAGTCCTGCAAGATTCATATACCCATCCATATTTGTTTTTTAAATATTTATTGAGCACTTACTATGGGCCAGACACTGCTGTTGATTTTAAACAAAATTTAAAATTTGGTTTATCCAATTTCTGCTTCATACAAACTTCCTCAAACAGTTAACTTACAAAGATACACCTTGACTCTTCCTTCTCCTCCTGAATCAGTTAAGACTGAATATTTTTGCCACCAAATAAAAGAGAACCCAAGTGATAATTGCTTAAAAAAGATGTCTTTCTCATAAAAGAAGATATCTGGAGAAAGGTGGATTCTAGTGTTGTTCAGCAACTCTGTAAGGCTAGGACCAGTATCTGTGAGATAGCTTGGTCTTTCCCACATAGTAGTTACAAAATAGCTAATAGAGTGCCATAAATCAAGTCTGTATTCAGGGCAAAGAGGAGGGGGGAAGAGGCAATGTCAGTTAAGTCTGCTTCTTTTATCAGGAAGTCAAAGGTTTACCCAGAAGTACCACTAGCAGACTGTCCAGTTTTCCTCATTCTGCAGATCTAAATTACATGGCCATCCCCAGCTACAGGGAGAACTGGGGGAGTGTAATAAAACCTGGGCCTAGACACATTTCCTCACCTGGACAGAATCAAGGTTCTGATAGCAGAAAGAGGAAGGGAAAAGACATGGGTAAACACTGGGCAGACAACATCTTCTAACCCTCCCCCACATATTTTGCATCTTTGAATATTACTTTACATTTGCCTACGGCTTCATATTTTACAAAATACTTTTACTTACTTTATCTTATTTTATCCTGTCAGTACAACAACGAGAGATTTAAGGCTCAACAAAGTGATTTTTTTCTAGTTTATACAACAAGTCATAGAATTAGAACTTAGGTATTTTGATTCCCAAATCAGTATCCTTCACTGTCTTTTTAAAAAAATAGATCTCTGAAATTATCATGTAGAGGTAGAAATATAATGAAACCTATGCTTCTGATCAAGATAGAGTAATAGACACCAGAATTATCCTCACATTTGAAACTAATAAAAAACTGGCCAAAATAATATGAAACAATGGCCCTCAGACATTGACCATCAGACAATGAAGAACACTGATCTCTAGAGATGGGAAATAAATGAAGGGAATGAATAAATGAAGTGAATAAATGAGGGGAATTACCCCAGCTTACTGCCTGGAGAAAGTTTCCATGCCTGATAGAGTCCCTGCCTTGAGAAGGCAGAGCTGGGAGTCCAGTGACCCCAAGGAGGCTAGTGT